AGGGACTATCCTATAATGAATATCCGGATAAAAACCTTTTTTTTTTTTGACTTTCTTCCCCGTATCCAGTTTTAACTGATTTTCGTCCTCTTGGACATCCAATTTCCAAAACTTTTTAGAAAGAACCTATTTTCTCAAATATACTGGTATTTTTTGAATGGCTGATATACATTTTATATAGGTGATTTATTTGTAGGTCACATGTAATAGAATTCTGAGAAGTTGACCTTTTGAAAATGCTGCTCAAAATGTATTGAACTTTAAAATGTTGTGAGAATTGCTTAAAAGATTAAAAAAAAAAAAGAGGTGCAGAATCTGCTACTAAAACGAAAAACTTTCCCTAATGTCAAAATAAAATAAGTCATTTTTAAACACATTAAAAAAAAAAGGGAGAAACAAGGTTAGATGGAACCATCAAGGGCGAGATAAAAAGTTGAGAAAAAGGGTGAGAGTGATAGGTTAGATTGAGGGTTAGTAGGATAGTGTAATGGAAATCAATCAACAATGATATTATTCAGATTTTTCTTTTCCTTTATATGAAATTCAAAATTTTTCTTTCTTTTTCTTTTCAAGATTCTTCTGAAGCCAAGTGAATATTATCAAGAAACATCACAATTAAGTGCAACAAGATGTTTATGTAAATTAATGTTATTATCATTTGAATTATACGAAACACATGCAAAAATGGTATTTGATTTATTAAAAAATTCAACATTCGAAAGTGTTCGTGTTGCTATTATGGTTTTAATGAACGATTTTTATTTAAAGTAAATTTCTTTTGACAAAAAAAAATTTATTTCTAAAACAAAAGAAATTTTCTTTAAGATATCCATTAGCATTTGCTGCTTATTCAAATGATGTTTATGGTTGTTTACGTGATCGATCAGATAATGTTCGTTTAGCAGCATTAAAAACAATTTCAAATTTAATTCTCAAAGAAAGGGTTCAAGTTAGTTTCATATATATATATATAAATTAAAACAAAAACATATGATTATCTAAATTTGTTTATTTAGCCAACAGGTCAAATAAGTGAAATAGCATTTTGTATTATTGATAAACATCCTCAAATAGCAACATTAGCTACATCATTTTTTAGTGAATTAGCTAAACAACAAGATGGTGAAGCATTATTTAATATTTTACCAGATATATTTTCAAATTTAGTTGGCGATAAATTAGATAAGCAACGTCAATTAAATGAAGAAGATTTTAAATCTATTATCGACTTTTTATTTAAATATGTTGGTAAAAAAAAGCAAACAGAAAGTCTATTAGAAGAATTATTGAAAAGATTTTGTATAGCTAAGTAAATTATTTATTTTCATTTTATTTTATTTTTTAATAATTTTTTTCTTTAAGTGGTAGTCCTCATGTATGGCGTGATCTTGCTTATATGATGTCAAAATTAACATTTAATGAACAATCAGTAAAAGGTCTACTTCATGATTATAATGATTATGCAAATAAATTAGTTGATTATGATGTTTATCAATCATTTTTAACGATTCTTGATAATGCAAAAAAGAATTTAGGAGATAAACCTGATTTAAAAGTAAAAATAAAAAGAATTTTTTCCTTTTGTTTGTTATTTTTCATTGATTGAAAATGATCCGATTTCTTTATAAAAGGTTCTAATTGGTGAATTATCGACTCGTATCAATAAAGAAAGATCACCAAATAGAATTTTAAGTGCTGTACAACAAGCACAACAAAAAACAAAACAACAACCAAAAGGTAAAAAAATCAAAACTAAAAAAGAACTAACGATGAAAGTCCTTCAATTTGTGGGGCAGACCTTTTTGGTATCCGTTCCGATCACAGTCTAGAAAAAACTATTCCAGAGTTTATTCATATCACATCAAAAAAAATTTCTTTAGTCCTTATTTTTTGATTTAGTCGATGACTGGCACTTTTTCAGTCATCTCTTTTGAATTATGTTCTAATTGATGATTTATAAGATACTTTGCTTAAAACTAGAGAATATTGAACTATAATCTTTAGTTGCGGTTGGAACAACTTTTTTCTCGTAGTCTCAGTCCCGTCCGGTCTCAGCAACTTCTCATTCTGGTGGTCCAGGTCTAGGCCTATACTCACATCCACACCCTTTTTCTTATGATCTCAGTGACCGAAACTGGAGCTACAGTTGGTCTTGCACATCTCTAGTTGAGATTATGTGCATTATGTGGATTTAAATGAGCTATGAATACTCTGAAAGGAGCTCGTGTCCTTAGCTTATTGCTGTGAAGATTCTGCACTTTTTAAATGAATGCTGTGATCCTTAAGAAAAAAAATTCATTTTCAAATTTCGATTTGTAATTTTTGTATAGAAACAGGTCTTAACTAGAATAGATTATTGTGAAAGTTACAGATCTTGCCACTGTTACTATTCTAAGATAGAACTATGATAATAGTATGTCTTTTACGTCACTCGTATAAATGAGCAGATTTAATGTTCTTATTTTAGTATAGAAGTCAATCAAAAGGCCTGAAACTTTCACAATAAACTTCTCGTGTTTAAGTCTGTCTCTATGCGAAATTTCAAGTTGAAATTTAAAAATGAGTTTTTCTGAGAGGGACTATGAGATTGATTTAGGAAGTGTAGTAGCTCCGCAGCAATAAGCTACAGGCACAAACTTTTTTCAAGATATACATAGCTCATTTGGTTCTATATAATCTTAACTTAAAAGCAATTTATCAGTCAGAGTACTTTTCTCGTAAAATTCTTTTTATTTATAACAAAATTTATTTTATTTTATTTTTCAATAGCTGCTCGTGCTGGTGGAGCGAAGAAAGGTAAACAAACAACAAGTCATAGTAAAGCAAAAGCAAAACAATGTAAGATTTAATTTTTAAAGAAATAAAAAAAAAACAAATATTATGATAATTCATTTTGATTTTTAGCTGATGATAATGACGATGATGATTTCAAAGAAAATGATGGCGACGATGATGATTTAAAAGAAAATGATGGCGACGATGATGATGATGATTAACTTATTTTTTTTTGTTTTTTCTTGTATTATATTAAATTGTATATTTTGATTTGGTTATTTACTTTTTTCTTTTGATGTTATTCTTTCTCTTTCTTCTTCTCTTAATATCCATTATTAGAAGATTTTGTTATGCATAATACTTTCATTTATTTTGTGCTTCATTGTGAAAAAAAAATTATAAACGGTTTTGTTTCTGTGTGAATATTGCAAATAAAAGATCTGTTAATGAAACAATTTTTTTTTTTGAAAAGGTTAATATTAATTAAAAATCATTGATATTTTTCTAATAGCAAGAAAATATTTTATCTTGATAAGAAAAAAAGAAACGTTTAATCGTTGATCGCACTACAATTTTTGTATGAAGATCTTGACAGAAAAACAAATGAAAGAATTTATTTTCTATGATCCTTGTCATCCAATGGAAAAGAAAGATCTAGTTATATATGGAAAGTAATCAAATATTTGTACACAAAAATAGAATATAAACAAGTTGTATCGTAGGGTTTGTATACAGTACGGCAATAAAACAAGTAACGCGTCGGCTCTTTGAGCCTCGCTCAGCTCAACTCAATCCTGAAAGCTTGGGACTATGGTGTAGAGCATTGAGTATTCTATAACTAAACATATATTTCTAAATGAATCTGAAATAAAACCAAGTAATTTATTTTGCGAACGGAATTGCCAATAAGTATTAGAGTAAATTTTCTTTACAATAACATAAAGTTTAAAATTCGTTTGTATTTAATATGTATTAATTATATGCTATTATTGGATACTCATGTTGGAAAGCATTTCAAAAAATTCTTTAGTTAAAAATGCTTGATGATATAAATATTTGTCACAAAACTTATCCAAGAAGAAAAACATTGATAAGACTTTCTCGAATAATCTAATTCATAGGTATCTAAATGTTGTACTCATACTTGTCTACAAAGAAACTACAGATTTTTTAAATTTCTTTTTCAATATTGAGTTGTATTAAACAAATGGTAGAAAAAAACAAATATTTACAATTATAAAGAAAACAATGACAAAAAAACCTGTTCGATTATACTTTATTCATTAAATCTTTGATTGTTTGTTATTCTTCCGACAGACCTGATGTTATCAATATTGGTAGAATGCCCACATCAACATGACTAAAATTATTTCATCATTTAAAGAATGAAACATCTTTTAGTTTTTTTCTTCTCACGTAAGATATGAAATTTATTTTCGATTGAATTGTTGGAAGAATTAAAATTTGTATCTAATTCAAAAAGAACAGCATACAAATTTAATGGAAAATTAGTTTTATCACAGTCCGTGAAAAGCTCGTGCGTCTAGAAGGAAAAGTAGTGTTCTCAATTACTGGAAATTCTATAAGTCAATGATCTCCACTTTTTATAATATAATTTTTATTATAATACGGGCATATAATGAAAAAATTCGCCGTCTCATATATGGGACATCCGGCGCGAAAGGTTTAAATAAATCACGATTAATTCAATAAGGGTATGGGTGTTATTCTTTTATTTTCTAATGGAGTCGAAATGTACCTAAAACGTCTCCCGTACTTTTATGTATGAATAACATAAGTGTGGAATTAGTGGTTGTTTATCAAGACTCCATATAAAATAATTTTACCTAATTCAAAATACCTCATTCGATACAGTTTTTAATGACGATTCTGAATCTAAAGATGGTTTTTATTGTTAATGGTAAAATATAAGAGTAAATGGTTGAACATTAGAAAACCTATACTACACAAAATGTGAAAAAAAGCAACATTTTTTTGTCCTTCGTCCTATTTGCATAGCAAATGATTCTCCCATAAAAAGTTATTTATATAGGTCGATAGAGCAGAAGTTCCTCTATCGAACTATATATCAGGCTTGCTGCTGGAATTCCATTTTTGAATCAAATGTTACGCAAACATTTTCGTATGTTTTAGGTATTCAGTGGCAAGGAACAGCTATTAAGATTCCAGTAAAAATAATTGAAATTTAACCTGAAAAGTAGAAGATCTTGAAGAAATTTTTGATGTTCTATACGAATCTGAAGTTAAAATATTGATTAGAAAAAATATTTAGCCTCATATTCTCCAAAATAATGAAAACGATTACATTTGAAGTTGGAGAAAATAGTCAGAAATACGTATTTTCGTATTTTGCGAATTTATCTCTTATTATCCGGTCAATGATAGACTTTTCGGTGATCAAAATGATCAATGTAAAAAGTTCTATTGTATAATGCTATTTGAAGGCCAATCGAATATACTTCATGTAACGGTGGAAGGAACCCCACGGAATTATCCAAATATGTTATATGAGTCTTGACAGAGAAATTTTATTTGCCAAATATGCTACTTTTAACTCTTATTTGGTGAATATTTCAGTCAAACGTCATGGCACCGAGCTGAAAATTTTACCATAGTCTCTCCACTATAGTCCCAATATGTTCTGAAAATTTCAGTCAATTTGGATGTACCTAGAGATTGAGATCAATTTTCGAGAGGCCTTAAAAGGTGTTAAAGCAGATGAAAAATATACGTTCAAAAGAAAATGTGTTCAATAATCCTATTTATTTGTTACTTAAGTGTGTTTCTTGATCTTGCACAATTCTATTTATTTATTGATTAATTGTTTTTCTTGATTCTGTACAATAAAGAGCAAAACTTTTATGTAAAAATTCTTCCCATGTCGCACATTTCTTCTCAGTACCGCCGTTAGCACCCTCAATTTCCGGTTCCAGAACTAAATTCTTGAGAAGAGCATTTCCTGCCTAAATTTGAATTTGCTATTAACAAACATTCAAAATGAGAGAGAAAAAATTTTTTTTACAAGTGTTTTCAGCAATAATAATATTTGCGGCGCCCTCTATTTTGAAAAATTGATCTCAGCACTGCGACTGATTTGGGCTCTGTGGCTAGTACAGGCAGCTCAGGCGCATCAACATTATCTGAGAACACCGAATTTCACGAAATTTTGACGATTTTATCAGACTTAAAAAATATTCAGCCGTTTTGATACACTATAACACGATGCGCTACTCCTCGAAAAAACCAACGGTTTTTTCCGGTTCGAATCGCATGGATTAATTAGTACACTGGAACAGAGTTTAAAAATAGCTTTATATGTCACACATACTTCATGCTTTTTTTCTAGTCTTTATAAATGATTTTCTGCTTTTCACACTTCAAAAGGTGGCAGCACTACTTGCGTCATTGAATATGCTCGACCAATAATCATCATCTAAAGTTGTTTTATCTCAAATGACAGCATGTTTCTAATTTCTGCTTGTTGAACACAAATAATTGTAAAAGCACTAATGAAAAATTGTAATAACAATGAATATAATCAGTTTAATGGTACTTTTTGAAAAATCATCATCAATAGTCTTCATGGCAAACATTTTCTGTGGCGAGTTTCAATCAACAAATATTTTGTTTATCAAAAAGAAGACTCTTCTGAAGTAAATCTTTCTTGATTTGCTTAGTTTTTTTTTCGCTGTTTTTCATGAAAAAGAAAAATGTCAACGAACAACATAATTCTTGGAAACAAGACGTTCTTTTTCTTCTCACACATTACTTCATACATTTCAATCAATACGATTGTGATGCATTAAACATATTTTGAAATGAATTACGCATATAATTGCAGCCGAACAAATACTTCCATAAAGAAAAATTCTAATGAACTCGAAAAACTTATCCATAATATTTCATGTTCGTAGATCATCATCAAAATGAATATCTAATTTTCTCAATCTTTTAGAAGATCTTTTTTTCCACAATAGTGTCAGAAACGAATAGAAAATGAGCCAGCAGGCTACTTATGTCAAACGACTAATTTTGGATTATACGAGTTTTAGAGATACAGGAAAGAAGGCGTTTGAATTGCATTAAATAAAATTATATTTGACAAGATACTAATAATGCTATTTTTATCTGAAAGAATTTGATGAAAGCGTTGACCGTGATGAGTTAGCTGTTATTGTCATATCTGGGGATGTCCCTGGCAGGTATTGAAATTAGATTTTCTTTGAAGATGTCATAGAGAAGATAGAGAAGAAGAAGAAGAGAGCACAAAATCACAGAGTGATAGTGCATTTGATTTATCTTATTGCGATTGAAGCAGACTCGTATAAGAGCTCAGCCGATTTTACAAAAAATATAATATCAGTCTTTGAAGTAGCTCTTCAAATCAAATTTTGGAATCTAATTATTTTATTTTCAATCGAAGTTCCAGCAGCGTTACTCAATGCAATAATATTCATTAGCATAAAATCGCTTCGTCGATCTCCATCAACTTATTATATTGTGGGACAATCATTATCCGATGTGAATATCTTATTGATTTTGCTTCTTCAAATAATTCCATCTACGTCATCATTGGTTTCATCCATTGCTTGTAAGTTAATGTTGTTTTTTTTTCAAGTGACAATTTCTGTTGCGATGGGTTTTCTTTGTTTGTCTGCATTTGATCGTTGGGCATGTACATCTCAATCGACTCGAATACGTCAATTGAGTTCGATTCGCGTAGCTCGTCGTGTCTTTCCTATTCCATTTATTCTTTGGTCACTTGTTAATGTTCCTCTTCTGGTGTATTCTGACCTTGTACCAACAACACTTGCATGTTGGTTCACGAATGATCTCTTTATGCGAATAGGAATTCTTTTTTTGTCTCCAATTCTCACTGTTCTTCTTCCTTTGATTGTTCTTATACTGTTTGGACTGTTGACATATCGTAACATTCATCGTGTAACCCATGTTCGTCAACAACCAAATCAAAATCGTCTATCAAACTGGGAACAACAAATGACAAGAATGATGTTAATTCAAACTCTTCTAAGTATCTTTTGCACACTTCCTCGAGCTATTTTCGTCGTTTATACGATCTTTACAATCGATGAGAGTGTAACGAGAAGCTTTGATCAATTGTACATTATACTTCTCGTCGATAGCATCACTGCCTCTATTATTTCTGTGAATTTTGCTTCATCTTTTTACATATTCCTTC